GCTGACGTTAGAACATCACCTGTCGGCTCTGACCAGGGGGACCTTCGCTCAGGTTCGCCTGGTGCACCAGTTGTGGCCCTACCTGGATCGCGAGGCACTTCACACAGTCATTCATGCCCTTGTCACCTCAAGACCTGACTACTGTAACACGCTCTACATGGGGCTGCCCCTGAAAAGTGTTTGGAGACTACAATTGGTCCAGAATGCAGCCGTGCAAGCGATATTGGGTGTACCAAGATACACCCATGTTACACATATCCTCCACGAGCTGCACTGGCTTCCTATCGGTCTCCGAACTACTCAAAATTTCTGCTACCAGTTCTCCAGAACCTGTCAGAATTGGCTGAATACCACCTCTGATCCCACCACATCAACACACTGAATTACTGCAAGTCAATCAGCAGAAACCGATTCAGTCACCTATGTCATATTAATACAGCAATACAATACTCACTTATTGCTTGCTGGTCCCGTTGAAAGTACATCGGATTGTAGCTTGGGGAAAAAGCCAGGTTCATATTTTCCTTGTCCAATCTTCATATCTAATAAATGAGGAAGGACTGCAGTATGGTCTATTTTTGCCAGTCTTAACTCAATAGCTTTTTCTGGGAGGGAGGGGGAAATAAAACATTGAATCATATTATTATTTAGCATAGCTGATGTTAAATTGTGAAATAAAAGAATGAAAATCTAAATCCTAAAATATGAATTAGGACATTACTGCTAGAAATACATATTCTGCACAAATACATAAAAAGGAGTGTCTCAATACAATTATATTGCATGCAGTAGTTCGTTAAAACACATTGACCCTACATCATTTTTCTCAACTGTTTGATAATGTAATTTGCTTGCATCCTGACTTTATGTCATTACACTATGTATTGTTAGTAGAATACGAGCAGCAGAAAGTTGGATTACACAGATTACAAATTACAGTTTCTGACATATATCATAATGTGAGCATACTGGTAATAATTGCATGGCTTATTTTATTGAAAATTATGATTTGGAATGCATGTCCCAAAAGTGCTTTGATTAAAAGGCAACTGGATTTTCTTTTCTTTTTTTCTTTGATAACGTTTTGCTTCTCATCAAAGAAGCTTCTTCAGTTCTAACTGAACTTAGAACTGAAGAAGCTTCTTCAATGAGAAGGGAAACTTTTTCATAAAGTTTTCACAAAGTCATAAAGTATGAACTGGTGTCCTCTAGGATGTTGTGGGTGCATAAGAGAGTAGAAATCCATAAGCTTGTGAAACCTACATGTTACATTCCCCAAAATAGTGAAAATGGTAGATCCAGAGTAAGCTTTTGGAGGAAACTATGCAACATTCAGAATGAATATTATCCAGGAGAAAAAAATACTTTACTTAGTGATTAGGCAAGAGAGTACAAAAAAATTGACTGTGCTGAGACTTAAGAACAAATGAGAATAGTGATTTTTGTGAATAGTTGCTTAGACAAAGTCTACTTGTTTCAAATAGATGGTTTAATAATTAGCCCATTGATGTCTCTATATGGAAAAGAAATAAATTTAAAAGCATGACTGAGTTCATTATTTATGATGAAATATTGAGTTTTACTGAATGATATAAGGGCTGTGATGGCTTCTGGATATGGGACAACTATATGATGGTAATGGATAATTAAAATGTATCTTAGAAAGGAAATAATGAAATAAACTAGTGAATGTATAGTGACTGCAGGAAGAGAAAGTACAAGTACTGTATGCAAACAATAAATAATGAGAGGCTGTGATAACAATTTTGATAAAATTAATAATTGTTCTATAAGTGGATAAAGACAGCTATTCAAGGAACCTCCAGCAGAATGACTAGAAAGATATAATAAATGATATAGATGTAAATTAGTTGTAGGTACATTTTCTTTTCTTACCTGTTTTTTTTAATCTTCTAAACTCATGTCTTGCTTACCCAATTTATCATTTAAAAATGTTGCTGCAGTTGTATTTTAAATACACATAAGTGAGTAGCTAAGTTTTATTAGTACATTATTAGTGTCCTGTACCTCTTACATTTATTTAAATAGAATTCAAATTTGCAACTCTTACCAGCTTCATCAATGGTACTGCATTTTTGATACATGGATGTGCGCAAAGTTGGTGTTCGAACATTTAACAATCTTATTTTATCAACTCTAAAATCAAACACTCTCAAAATAGGATCTTTATCTTCTCCATCATGACACATAATCTTATTGTCAATAAAAGAAGCAAACATCTGCGTTTCCAAAAATCTTGAGAGGAAAGGCAAATAAGGTTCAGGCTGATCAGACAAGAAGGATGCCTAATAAAATGAAAGAAGCGGTATTTATGTTTCTTTAAATTGTAATTGCTTTTTTTAAAATGACATGAATGCTTTCATTCATCTGAAGTTATTTTCTATTTTATCATATTCTAAATACAATGCACTCTGAAAAACATTAAAGATTCTATGTTTTTCCAACTGCTAAAATTGTATAATTCTAAGAAAAAATGGAATGCATACAAAGGAAGTGACAACAATCATAAACATTTGAAAACAACTTACACTAGGATTCAATTACTGTACTTGATCAATTTTTAATTAATGGAAATTATAACATCTGCACTTTTCTATTTTGCTGGAAGAATTCCTGTACCAAACTGTACATACAAGAAAACTGCTTCAAATGAAATCAGATCTTTAGTCATTTAGTTAGTAAACAGTCAAAGATTTCAAACATGAATCTTATATACATCCTTGATCAGAAGATATTTAAGCAGTAAGTGAAAGCATATTTTCCTTTAAAATGTTGTGACATTTCAGGAATTGTATCAACAATATACAAAGAAGAAGGGAATTACTATTGGATGAAAAATACTTTAAGCCATCATGTTCTCATATAAGCCTTCTGGATGTGGCCATGACAACTAATACAGCAAATATATTATAGCAGATATAGCCATTAAATGTTTTCCTCAAATCTTAATAATATATCTACTAACATGAGTAGTATCTGAAAGAAACAAAACATTGAGCTATAATTTGTAGAAATATATTGTGATTCATCTGAACAATACCATTTCTTATTGTTCATAAGGCATAGCCACCCACAATTTATCACATGGTCCTAATGAAACTTAAATGTATCAATGGTTCTTCTCAAGAATTTTTAAAATAATCTTTCTGTGCCCATTTCAGATCTCCTATTTCCACTTTTACAAGCTCTAGTATAGACATTTGCCGTGAGCCTGTATAAATCTTCTTCCTCATTTTAAGAATATATATTTTCATACTCACTTTATCAAAGTTCTGCATCTGTTCTCTGTTAGTAAACCACGACTCTTTGTCCTGACTGGGCTGAATAACAAATACTTCATAATCTGCAAACATCTGAGTGAAACGATTTGCAAAAACTTCCCGTATTTGAATGTTGAGCTGGTAAATCTTTAATTCTTCTTCATCACACTGCATTTTCAGATCCTTCTTGCTACTCATCTCTTCTCGAAGTTCAACCTTTAAGGAAAGAAATGCTCATATAGTGGTTCAACTTTACTATCTTGAGGAATCAAAATGTATAAATGCTACTTAAACTGAAATGACAAGAGCTTTACCAGATAGTATTCCATTGTCTTATACACTGCTAGGCAAAATATAAAGTAACTGCATCTATATACAATAGATTAGCACTTTATATACATGATTAAAAATAGAGTCCAAGGGAAATTGTCTTTACAAATTATTTAGATCTTCATACTCATATTCCTGCTAGGAGGAGGGAAGAAAAATGAGTCTATGTTTGAGTATGTGAGAATATGTGACAGAGGTAAGTTGATATCAGGGACTACATATTATATGCAAGCAATTTTAATCAGTAGCATCAATTCAAATTTTTGTCCTGGCCTGGCCCCCTTCTTTAAATTATCCTGATAACTGATCCAAGAATGTAAATGGTGGCATATGCATGATAACATGACATGTGCATTGTTGTTTGCCCCTCTACCTTTTATCCATGGATATCCCCACAAATATAAAAGTAAGATGTATTGTGTGGAGGAAAATCTCCAAGATAAATTTCAGCAGGATTTGGAAACATTAGACTAACAAGATGGACAAACTGGTATATACTGTCTCTATTTTTTTATTTCTTTTCCTTTGGAGGGAGGGTGGTCATCTTAAATTTTGAATTATATTTTTCTATTAAAATGTTTTTATCCTACCATGTTTCCCTGAAAATAAGACAGGGTCTTATTTTCTTTTGACACATGAAATATGGCCTTGCCCTTATTATTGGGGGGTGTCTTGTTATTTTGGGGATGCAGGAGGTGGCAAGTATGGGACTGCATGTCCTGTCGCACCCATCACCTACCTCCCTGTTCTTTGCGTGGCCAAGCAGCTGGCTGGCACTGCCCTGATGTGTCCCATCACTGCCCTGCGTCGGGTTGGGCTTTCTTTGTGAGGGGGACAATCTGGGGAGCGAGAGATTTAGGAAGCCTGGGCTGGCGTGGGGCAGTTTCTCCAGTGAAGCGTCTGATTCATCCCCAGGGGTGAGTGTTTTGCCTTCTCTCTGCCCTGGCTTGGAAGCTGCAGAGGAAGCCTGCCATGCCCAGTGAGGGGGGGGAGAAGAGACAGCAAGAGAAGCCACGTCTCACTCCATACCTCTCATTTCTCCTCCACCCCACCTGCCACTCCTCTCACTAAAGTGATGGTGAAGGAAAGCAGCCTGGATTCTGTTAGCATTGGGGTGGGGTGGGAGGAGTTGGGCTGCGAAACATGTGTTCTACCCAAGACTTGCAGCTCCATTGCGTTTCTCGCTGTTTTGTCTAGGGAAGCACCCTGTAAAAAAAAATCTTGCAAGTTCAACTCCCCTGCACAAAACAGTGAGGAACATGATGTAGCTGAAAGTCTTGGGTAGGACACGTGTCCTCGCCCCAATGCTTACAGAATCCAGGCTGCTTCCCTTCCCCATCGTCTCTTTAGCGAGACGGGTGGCAGGTGAGGTGGGGGAGAAGTGAGAGGCGTGGAGCGAGACATGGCTCCTCTTGCTGTCACTTCTTCTCCCCCCCCCTCCCCTGTCGCCAGGCATGACAGGCTTCCTATGCAGCTTCCAAGCCAGGGCAGAGAGATGACGAAGGGCAAAACTTTCGCCCCTGGGGATGAATCAGATGCTTCACTAGAGAAACAGCCCCACACCATCCCAGGCTTCCTAAATCTCTTGCTCTCCAGATCATCCGCCTTGCAAAGAAAGCCCAATCCGATGCAAACGCCGCCTCCAGCCACCTCTTCATCCTGGTGGAACTACGTTTTTAAAGGATGATCTGCAGTTGGGGGGGGGATTTGCTGCATATTAGCAGTGGTGTCTCCTCACAGGGCTTCTCCCTATGTCCCAGGTGCGAAGCAACATCCTGTAAAGGAAAGCATGGAAATCCATACAACTGGGGATGTCGGAAGAAGCCTTGTGAGAAGACGCTGCTGCTGATGTGCATGAAATCTCCCCCCTCCACCTTCAGATGGTCTTGTGGGCTGACTGGAGAGGTCTTCAATGAACTTCGCTCTGTCTGTGTCTGCAGGCAGCAGCATCTCCTCGCAGGGCTCATTCTTCCTTCTCTCTGGTCTGATTCTCAAATATTTTCAAGCAAAACACTGCCAAGAGAGGGAAGTATCTCTTCTCCCTCCCTTGCCAAACTTTGCGTGTAGGCGTAGCGTTTCACAAAAATTCCTTAATGCGCAGCTGCTGGGTCCCTCGCTTTGTATTTTTTATACACATACCGACATACCCACCCTTCCTGGGAATGCCGTTTCCCACTCCCAAGGAAAGAAGAGCACTGGGGCCGCACTGGACTTTTCCCCCTGCCCTGACTCCTGTCAGCCTCAACTTTGCTCCTGTAACCCTGCGGGCCACTTCTCTGCTTGAGCTCAGCCGAAGGGGGGGGCTGAGGGCAAGGGTGAGATGAAGCTGATTGCTTCTCCTTTGCCTCCTCTCCCAAAAGCAGTCTCGGGGGCAGCCACTTTTGCAGCAGGAGACTCAAGCCGGCCTTCCGAAGGGTACTGTAGCAGCAGCTATCCACAATTTTTTTACCCATATTTTGTCCCGATCCATGTGGCTCACTGGGCCATGTGGGTCGGGACGAAATAATGATCAAAAAAGTTGTGGATAGCTGCTGCTACAGTACCCTTCGGAAGGCTACTGCAAGGCACGTGGAGTGCATCACTTGGCCTCCTGCTGCTTTTGTGGCTGCAATTAATGGCAAAGGCAGCCGCACTTGCCAGAGGCCACGGCCTGAGCAGCACCCACTGCTGATCCGATTAAGGAGCCAAGAAACGCTGAGGTGACCGGGGATGGAAAGGGCTTCCTCCTGTACTTGCCATGGCACCCTTTCACTAGGGCTTATTTTGGGGGGAGGGTGTATATTTACACCCACCTCGAAAACCAGGCCTGTCCTTATTAGCAGGACATGTCGTATTTTCGGGGAAACACGGTACATACTTCTTTTTTAAGATTCTGTGATACTTCCCCCCCACTCACAATTAGATTTTACTTATTTGTCTTTAAAAAAGATGAAAACAGTCATATTTGATATATTTAGTAGCCAGTTTCCATTCATTATTCCACATAAACCTTCTAATAGAAGAGAATGCATAGGCTATTTACAGTATACATTATCAAATATATCACATGTTATTTAGTACCAAAATGTGCTGTTATGAGTGTTAAACAGGTTGTCCTTACTCCTTAATAGTATAATGAAGAAATAAAAGGGAAAAATTGACATATCAGAAAAGCACTCTTTTTTGTGTCAACATCTAAGAAATAGTTAACTGGTACCTAGCCACTGACAAATTGGAAGAAAAAATTAGGAGGAAAACATCCTGAAAATTCGGTGAGAAAATGCTTACCAAATTAATGAAACAATCTCATTATTATCTTTATAGGTAGCAAGCTTTTAAGTTTAGTAGACAGTATATAGGTGGACTGGGAATAAAGTTAATTAGCCAGCAATGTCCAGGGGGGGGGGCATGGGGGAGCAAGGCAGCAATTGCAGCTGGGTGATCAAAGCTTTGCCTCTTTGTGCACATGTGCGATGTCAACACATAAACAACATGAGCAGGACTTTGTCTCCATTGTCACCATAATCAACTTGCTTTTCTGACTCCCTGTCCAGGGACTGACTGATTTAAAACATTCATGTGACCACCAAGGATGGCGCTGTTAGTTCAAGATAAAATTTCCAAACAATCCTACATTAATCATGCATGTACTGTTGCAGAACCCCTGTAACTATTATGCAATTTACCTTTTCTAGACTAACTCCTGTTCTTTTAACAAGCGCTTGCAGTCTTGCTAGGGTTTCATTTTCTTTCAGTAGTTCGTAAGAATTCATAGTTGGTCCTCCTATGTTGCCATTTCTCTTATCAGATACTATGTCACAGGTCCTGAGACTTTTCATCATCTTGGAGGCACTTTCATTACAATGTAGGTTTCCCTCAGGTGGAATCCCAAAAGCCATAAGTACTTCAGAGACTTCCTGAATGAATTCAAGCTTATTTGGAAATTGAGGCAAGTCTTCTGGCAACTCAACATAATGGTTGTCTATATCCACAAAACATAAATTTGCCTAAAAATTAAAGTAGGAAGAGAGGTAAGAGTAATCATAAGCAGAGGTTAAACATTTAGCAGCATCTGTTTGAAATATGCATACTATATCTTTATTTAGTGAAAGACATGGAAATTTAAGAACAAAAATAATGTAAAACAATGCAACCTTTTTTTTCTTATGCCCCCCCATCTAATATATCTCTGTAACTAGCCTCATAGTTGCTGATATGATTATTATAATTATATCTAAAAATATAGCCCACATTGAGGACCACTGATCTAAAGGATCACAAGTATTCCATACTCAATATAAAAATAGATATTTCCCTTGTTGCAAAAACATTTAAGTATTCCCACTTCACTCTCTCCACAGTGATTTCCAATGGCAGCAATATACTATCTGGCTGTTTTTTCCCTCCATCATCAGAGCAACAGAAAGCAGAAGAAATTTTAATTCCTTCTGATATATTGATAAGCCATAGGCTAATCATAGGAGCGGTTGTCCTATTAAGCAAATAATGAAGCTTTGAAGAGGTTGAGGAAAGAATAGATGAGTGATGATTCTGGTTACAAGGCATTTCCTCCCTTAGTAAACTATCACTCTTCTTCTAAGGACTCATGCGCACAGCAAAAATACATTTGAAATGTATTCGGCATGAAATTAAGCTTGATAAAAAATTTCTCACCTCTTGAGGGAGCTCGAGTTTAGACCGGTCATCAAGCCCATTAGAGTGCAATCCCATTAAATATGGGACAGGAGCATCTAGAAAATGTAGGAGAGAGGCCGGAAGGATGGGAACATAGACATGCTGCCATTGGAATGGAAACATCAGTGCTGTGATTGTCTCTGCCACAGTCATCAGTCTCTGGTAATCTAAAAAAGCAGATCAATTGAAAACAATCCTTTGAAAATTATCCTCAAAATTTGATTGGCACAAACAGAGCATTTATTCACTGACTTCTAGGAAACAAATAGATTGAATGAAAATGCAAAAAAGATAGATTGAATTATTTGTATCTTAAAATTAAATATTAAAGTTGTTAAAGAATAGGGACTCAATATGAAATAAAATGTGTATTTTATGTCTATGTACTATGTATGTATGTATGTATGTATGTATGTATGCATGCATGCATGCATGCATAATATACATATTATTGTACAATCCAAATTATAAATAAGAAAATAAGTATTTTTTTAAGGATGCCATTTTTATATTAACTTGCTTTGAATGGAGACAGATAATTTTTTATTTCTCTTAACATCTATTGCAGTGGTGGGTTCTGGCCGGTACGCCCCGGTACGGATGTACCAGTGGCAGCTGGGAGCAGCCACCATGGTACTGGAACAGTGCTATGGAGGGCCCACCTGCCCGCCCTTGTTCCTTACAGAGCATACGGCACCTGTGAGATCTCCACTGAGCAGCTGGAGCGTTGCAGGGCACTGGGTGTGCAGGGGTGCACAGCGCACGTGCCTGTGGTGGATGCCCGGCCCCGTCACAGCGTACCAGTTGCGACGGGATCCAGAACCCACCACTGATCTATTGTATTGTAAGTATACCAGCAGGGTGAAGGGATAGAGGTTCTGTCAAATCCACGGAATCTGCTATGTGGTATTGTAATTTCAATGGATTAAGTCATACCCCCTGGGGGTTTTTAATACTACATGAAATAATTGTTTCAATTACAATATTCATAAAGCCTATTCATAATATCATTGTACTAATCTTAAGAACATCCTTTATTTTAATCCGCATAATCAGCATATGTTCACATAGCTTAACTACTGTAGGCCAGTGGTTCCCAAACTTGGCAACTTTAAGACTTGTGGACTTCAACTCCCAGAATTCTCCAGCCAGCTCTGCCAAGTTTGGGAACCACTGCTGTAGGCTAAGCCACAAATTTATTTTATCTCACCACTCAGAAATGTGATCAATCACAATGAATGTATCACAGGTCCCAATGACATTATTTGAGTTCAATATACATAGAAGTATGATCTTGACGGAGGAAACAACTATACTTTCTGTTGCTACCCAGCATAATATGTTTGAAATCTATAGTATTATCAGTCTACTGGTGAAACTATTTCATTGGCTTGGATCCTATATAACCTGGGGGAAAGAATCTGATTTTTGGAAATCATGGTTGGAGCAGCTAAAACTCTGATAAGCACTATAAAAGAGGAGAACACTGTTGAGACAAGAAATTTGAGAAATTTTAAGATAAAAACAATTCCTTCACCTAGCTCAACAGTTATTTCTCAGAACTGCCAGAAAGCTGCATACTGTGCTCTAAACTGGGAGAGGAAGTAAGTGATTAAAAACAATCCTAATACATATAGACATAGATGTGAAACTGTTAATACAATTAATATTTAGATTTAGGTCAAATGCATATTTGAAAGCTTACATTAATTAATGCAAAAAACACAGAAGGAATTGGCACTCACAATTATAGTATTGTAGCTATGGAATATATGTGACCGCTGAGGCACCTCTTTCCTCCCAAACTACTGCTATGCAGTACTTGAATACATGCACCTTGCTGATACATCGTCACTACACTACGTTTGTCATTATGCATTCCCTGGATAACAATTTAGAACAAATACAGCCATAGCAGATTCACCAATAAACCCTGGTCCTGATGCAACTCCTGCCCCAGAAATATTATTCTCAAATCTTAATATATATTTAGCGTATGTAGAAGAAGAAATCTGAAAAAACAACAACCACATTTTGCTTTGAAAACCCTCCAAAAATCATACTAAGCTCAATTTGAATATTTTAATAATGAGATAATTGGAAAACTCGGTGACTTCTATCAATATTTTTTTCACTAAAGGTTATTAATTCAGTATCTAATGAACTTGGTGGGATTTAATTTTTAGTAAGCATTGTACACTTCTATTCAGGTATTATCTAATACCTGAATACCTGAGAAATTTTATCAAGGTAGTTTTTAAAAACAACCATTAAAAATCATCTGCCTTTATTCAGAAGACATTGAAAACTGAACAGTTAAAATATTTAAATATACAGAATTTTGCAAAATATTCCTGAGTTTAGCAGGAACTTTCATTCAACACTGAAGCACTGTATGTCTTTAGTAATTGTAAGCTCAGTAATCAGCCCTGACTATACTTTATTTAACTACCTTTAGCTCCTAAAGCTTAACTTTAATATAATTTTTATGCTACACAATCCAAATAAAGCTAACAAACTCCAATCTTAATAAGTAATGAGTATAAATAATAAAACATCACATTTAAAATATTCTCCTATAAGTTTCATGTTCCGTTTTAATACAAGTCATTAAAGAGGTTATAATAGTACCATTATTATTAACTTTGAAGCCTGGTTCAGAAATTTATTTACCATATATTTCTTTTGTCTAGTCTTGTAATGGTAGTGTGTAAGCTCTATGACAAAATGTATGTACCGTATTTTTCGGAGTATAAGATGCACTGGAGTATAAGATGCACCAAGATTTTGAAGAGTTTTTGTACTCTGCAAACCTCCCAAAAACAACCTGTTTTTTGTGAAAACGGGCTGTTTTTTTTTTTTTAAAGGGCATGAATAACTCTTAGGAGGCTTGTAGAGTGTTCCTGGGGGATGGGGGGGGGGCAAAAACGAGCAAAAATGGTCCGTTTTTTCTCAAAAAAAAGGGCATTAGGAAGCTTACAGAGTGCTCCCTGGGGCTGGGGGAGCAAAATTGAGCAAAAAACGGCCCATTTTTTTGCTCATTACTGCCCTCCCCAGCCCCCAGCAGCTCTCTGAAAGCCTCCTACAAGCTATGCACAGCCATTTTGGTGAAGGGGCGGTGTTTCAAGAGGCAAAAAAATGCTGTATTCAGTGTATAAGAAGCACCCAGATTTTCAGCCCCTTTTTTGAGGGAAAAAGGTGCGTCTTATACTCCGAAAAATACGGTATGTGTGTGCATGTATTAGCAATAAAATAATAAAAGTATATAAGGTAATGTATATATGTAAAATATATAAATAATGAAATATTGTTATAATTATAATTATTATAATGAAAGTATTATTATTAATAGTATTAAATGATACACCTTCAAATTGATGCAAAAAAGAATGTAAAATATCTGTTGGGTAGTACATGCTGCTTAGGTCTGGATGTAGAAAATAGTTCTGTACTCCTACAGGTTTCACTTGGTTCAGGCCTATTGTACTAGCCCAAAGTGTATTTTGGTCTTGAACGTTCAAGCTGACAAGCTCTTTACTCAGAGCGTCGCACAGGCGCTGTACACTGCACATGCATGCGCAGATGGCCCGTTTCCTTCAAATACAGGTAAGGAATGAGGGCGGGCCCTCCAAAGCACCGGTACGGTACGGTGGCTGCTGCTTCTGGCAGGCACCGGTATGAGCGTACCGAGGTGTCCCACCTGCAACCCACCACTGATACAGAGAGAACACCAAAAAATCATGCCTTATCACATCTTATTTCATTGATTATGTCCCACTAAATTGACTCTTAGCTACCACATAGATTTTCTCTATTATGCTGTATCAAACCAAATGACTATTTGGCTAGTTCTATTTCTATAGCAACTAACCATATACTTCATAATACAACATGATTTCAATAGCACAAGTTACTATATATTACAATTATTGGGGGGCAGAGGGAAAGAGCTTATTTATTTATCACATTTATATGGTTTCCCATCTCACAAAAAGTGTCCCTGGAGAGTGTATAATAGGAGTTTCCAACCCCCGGGTCGTGGAAACCAGGCTGTGCAAGTGGTGGGCAAGAGAAGAGGTGTGTGCAGCTCTACTTGCACAAGCAGCAGGTGTTCCCACTTGTGTGCACATCTCCATTTGCGCGAGCAGCAGGTGCTCATGCTCGTGTACGAAATTTCATGGATTTGCGTGTGCTGCTGATATGTGCACCTGTTGCTCACATGGAACCATTCCCTCCCCCCCCGTCAGTCCACAAAGTTGGAGAGGTTAGGGGCTGCCAGTGTAGAACAATCAATTAAAATAATAAATACATAAAACAATCAATATTAGAAGTATAAAGCAGTCGTCATTAAAAAAAAAATCACAAGGCACAGGAGAGCGTGATACAACCGTCAAAGGATTTTATCAGTTCCCTGGAATCCCCAAGTCTGATGATGAAGCCAGATCTTGAGGGACTTTCTGAACATCAGCATGTCATTATGGGATTTAAAGGTCAAAACCAGAACCTTGAATTGTACTCAGAATCAAAGTGGCAATTAATTCTCCCCGTTCTATCTCTAAGCCAATTCCAAAATTTTTACAATTATTGCTGGATTCCAAAATTTTTACAATTATTGGAATCAGACTGAATCAATTCACTGCAGGATAAATGCCTCTTCATTGTGGTTATGGACCAAAGTCCAATATACTAAATCCAGTGCAGTTTAGTAAAGAGGAGTTTTTCAATTCCCCAATCTAAGACAGGGAAAGTAGGACAGGAAAAGTCATCCAACATCCATGCCTATGTGAGGAGTAGAATAAACCTATTCTCTAGGTTCATACAACATACTAAACTGCAAACTAAACAATCAGTTTGTACTGCATAAGGCTAGCAACAACATCTCTGATGTAGCATTCTCAACATCACTTTTAAGAACATGTTTATTAATAATGATATGTAGACATAACTTTCTTCTGAGATGTTTCTTAAGCTTCCCAACAGAGCTATAGCCCTGGTGTCCCCTGGGGATCTCCCAGGTGTTGCTACTGGCTGAGACTTTGATAAAGCAGTGCAACATTATAACAACAGCCAAATATTACCTGAAGACATTTTGCACAGGTTACCAATCGTGCAATATATATTTGGTCAAATACTTTTTCATTGCAGAATCTAGCAAAATGAACACATTATTATGCAAATGTTTGTGTAGAAAATTAGTTTGCATGCTTTTAAATTATGACTATATTGGTTTGGTAGACTTTTCCGTTTTATTTTTTTCTGCTTCAGCATGAAGCAGGGCAAGGAATAAAGCCATATCTTGTGTCTTTGAAACTTTATTGGATTATTTTAGATATTCATGGAAAACAGCCTTTTCCCTTTCAAAAGATTTTAAAACAAGTGAAGCATGATAAAATATACATATTCTAAGTAGCTGCTCAGAGTTAAGTTCAAGTCTTTATTCTGTGTTTGGTAAGAAAAGGCAAAAAATAAAACGACCAATTACATTTTCTCATTCGGGACCACTCATTTATTGAAAGCCAATAAAACAAAACTAAGAAATAGAAAACTGGTGGGACTACCAAATAGACAAAGTGAACTAAATGAAGAAACTAAAGTACCCTGGGACTTCAGCACTCCAACAGACAAGTAGCTGGCAAAAGCATCCCAGACTTAACAATTATCGATAAGAAAGATTAAAAAGTCAGGATAGTGAATCCTGTAGTACCTGGAGACATCAGAAGAGAAGACAAAGAACTGGAGCAAAAAACCAAACAAACTGTAAATAGAAGAATGTCTGTAGCAAAAGAGCAAAGATAGTACCAATGGTAATAGATACCTTGGGTGAAATCCCAAAACATCTGTAGCATCACTTGAACACAATTGGCATTGACAAAATCATTATTGGTGAATTACAAAAGGCAGCTTTACTTGGTACAGCTTACATTCTATGACAATACATTTAACACCATCAAACAATAACATCTGCCTATCCCAAGTCCTTGGGAAGAATTTAAAAGGTGAATAAAATTGCCAAATCCAGTCTAAACATCTGGCTGACTGTCTGATCAACAATAATTATCACCAGTCAATTACAAAATAGTTCACTTCCTGTAATGATGCCTTTAACATCATCAAACAACATCTGCCTATCCTAGGTCTTTGGGAAGGGCTTGACAGGCAAATAAAAATGCCAAATCCGGTCTAAACATCTGACTACACAACAACAACAACAATGTAGTATTTTAATGAACTTGCCCATCATTTGAGATTTAAAACAGCTATACTCACGTTGTGAATAAAGCAATATCTGAAATTCCAAAAGAGCACAGGTGAAGAGTTGAAGCATATTCTCCACTCCGAGTAACTCAAAAACATCTTTGACTGGAAAATCAAATAATGGCAATTCATTGGTGCTTGGCCTCTGGCAGATTATAGGTCCATAAACTCCTGAAAACCTTAGAGATCTTCCTGCTGGAGGGAGAGGAACTTCATACAGAATGTTGTAGATAAAGCTTTCCAATGGTAATGGTGGTGGCTGAGGTGAAGTTACAGCTTGATGGAGTTGTTCAAGCACTTTCCTACATGCCTTCATGAAAGACATTGGAGTGATCAGACAAATACACTTAGAGACATAGAGCGTGTCTCTACTAATGTCGTATGAGTTAAATCGCTGTAGTTTCGATACAGAAGTACCATTACAATCCTCTATAGTGCTAAGGTTATCTTTATCATTGGTGGATGGAGCATGAAGAATATCATATTCCGCATTGTGCATGAGATACAATGTCTGCATTGCGCTACAGATTTGTTTACTGGTAACTTCCTCATAAAACGTTAGAGAAAATCCAAATGTCCGTGATCCATCTTCACGTGTAATGATGAATGAATGAAACTGAGATTCTCTGGCATCAGCTTGTGTCTTGAAAGACAGACCTTTAGGCATACATAGCTAGGTAAGAGAGAAAGAAAAATTGGAGAGAAAAAATTATATATCACTTACTTGAATACATTTTTCACTCTCAGTATTAAAATTGATTTGAATCTTATGTTTCTTCCTACGGTTCATATTTATAGAAGAAACCTTTCCTTTGTCCTCATTCCCATTTGCAGTCTCCCAACATCCCCCCCACAAAAAAAAATTATTAGCCAAACCTTTCAAAATACTGTGAGATATAGTGCAAGAGGAGTAAAGATACTGAAGAAGTTATAAAAACCACACCCAATATAATTCAAATAAGTAAAGGAACAGCTCAGGTTCAAAACCATCAGATTTCATTTGGAATAAGACTGCACAATGCTCTAGATTCAATTCAGGAGAGGTGCTTTGGAACATACAAGGGCACAAATGCTGCACTGTATTAGGACTGTGTTTCATCAGTGAGAAGTGGCTGATTTAATGAGTTGTAGACAAATAGTGCATTCATATTCCCATGAACAACCTCTTTTGATCAAATCTGCAGCCTTATATATTCCTTAAAATGTCAAACAGGGAAATAAAATCTTGAATCCAAAATCATTCCTATTATTTTTAAAAATGCCTCCAAACCATCATTAAATAGACAGAAATGTAAATGGACACTTGTTCCTCTTAAAATAGAGAGACAGATTTGTGGTCAACATATTTATTAGTACTATTTAATTTGCCACATATTAGAACAAGTGGATTTAACTTTATAACTGCTCTGAAAATTCTTATTCTGAATTCTATTCACATTAGTGTCTTAACCCCACCCCAAATTTACAAATATTAATTTTAAGCTTTTTTTCACATTTTCCATTTTTTCCTCTGCAAATAAAATAAGCTTCAATTTTTAAAATATTGGTAAAAATACCAAAGTGCTCATCTTGTCTTAGCTATAACACTAAAAAAACCTCTAAAAACTGTAATTCTTTCCCACAGATTAAAAATAAACATGATGAGCATGCTACACAGACATGCACCCAGACAAAACTATCTCATTTGTATTTAAGGAACTTATAAACCAACTATAAACCTATAGTTGTGCCCTAAAGTAGTTTTCTATCATTTAAACAGGTAAGAAGAAAAACCTTTAAAATAGATCATGGGGAAATGACAGAGTTGGGACGAGATAAAAAGATTTTATCTATATGACATTTTGCATCTCTAAATTGACTTTTCCTCCTTTTTCTATCATTTGGGAGACAAATCTTTATTTCGTTTCACTTTATTTTATGGAATAGTGTTCATTCTTAAGTTATTTAACAGATTAAAGTTAAAATAAATAACTTTAAAATAAATATCTTAAATACTCCTAGGAATTTTTGGTCCTGTTCTAATTCTTGGGGAACCCAAAGGGATGAAAAATAATTGCTGACAATCTATATGCAATCGAAAGGGTACATGTTCTGTACCTCAGTTGTAGTTTAAGTACTGGATAAGTAGGTATAGAAGGTAGTTTGAAGTTTATGTTCAACATCAGACATGTGCTATATTTTGTTTTATTGCATATACGTATATGTGGATGGAAGCAGAATCCAGAAAATGATACAGAGGTGCATACAATTCTGAAAAATGTAGTGATTGTTTAACAGACATATATATATATATATATATATATATATATATATATATATATA